GCATGTGGCGACCGGGGGATGAAATTAGAGCCACCAGCAATAACACAAGTGTGAAAACTGTGCACCGACATCCAGATGGTACACGACCAAAGGAGTTCACGTCCTCAGCATAATGAAAAACAAAATACACCCCCGGACACCCTCTCCCCCAACCTCTCATTTGTCTCCCTATCTCTGTTTTTGTTTAATAAAATCGTGCTCGCTCATCAGCAGAGGAGGCCGGGGCTTCTCCTCTCTCTGGTGCGAGAGCAGCAGCAGGAGCTCCCTTGGGGCGTGGTGGTGGTGGTGGTGGGCCTGGTTCGCTGTGTGCTGCCGCTGTCAGTCTGTAGAGAATGCAAATGAGGCTCTGCTCGCTCTCTCTCTGATATACTCTCTGTATATAACCAGGCACTAACTCTGTCTCTCACTATCACACTCTGTCTCTTGTCCCATCTATCTCAAGGTCCTGAGGGTGCACGCACCATCCTCCACCTTTGTTTAAATCATCATACCTCGGTGCACTTAGTACTCACCTGTCACATGCAGCTAAGATGCTGGCTTTATTACACTATAGGCGTGCACTTTACTACCAGGCTGTGATCATGAAGATCATATTTTTTGACACATACGCCTTTTTCCACCACAGTGAACCAGGTCTAAGTGCTGGTTCAGAGCTGGTTCACCTTGGGAACCTTTTAAGAACCAGTTTGCTTTTCCATGGGCGAGTGATGCCTGAGAGCCACACTTGCGCCATCTAAGCACAACATAAACAATGGAGGACTACAGCAGCAGTTTTCAAGTGTGGTTTAGTTGTTCGCTGTATTTGGTTAAGTACAGGGTTTGTTTTCGAAGCTCCATCTAATATGCCTTGGATCTCAGCCAATGACCACACGGCAAGGTGACAGTTTGTCTCCTCTCCAGACCACTGCTGCTACGTTTTTCGCATTCATTACTTTGCTGCAGACTATTCTGTTCGCATGGTCGGATTTTTCAAAATGATTGTCACCACAAAGTCACGATAGCCTCTAACGTAGGCGGTTCATTCTTCCAGACCAGCAAAGAGCTGTGCCACTCTGGAACTAGTTATTCTGGCTGTCGAAACACAAAGAACTGGATCGAGATTATGCACTGGCTCTGGAAATGCCTCGGTGGAATACGGGTAAAGGTGCTACACAAGGCTGCTCCAGTTTGTAGGTTACTCCCAAAACCAGGACTCCCAATATATAATAAGTGATTCCAGAGTTTAACCCACCTTCTTGTGTTTTTAATCATCGAACCCCAGACAGCAGGGCACTTGGTCTCACATCCAATTTCATCAGGTTCAAGGACTGAAACACACCACGCCTCTTTAACCTTCAGTTGAGTCCTTCATTGAATATGAATGCTCTTATTAGTTGAGAGCAAGTGGACTTGTCAAGCGTGAATGGCTCATCTTGTTATGCAGGAGCCATATTGAAGTTTGGATAATTGTTTATGCCTCATTAATAAGCATGTAGGATTATTTGTTCACAGATCTCCAGTCGGCCTTTAACCTCTTCCTTAGTTTAATTATCCTGGAGGTGGAGGTGTTCCATGCTAATTTGAAGTGTAAAGCAGCTTTCTTTAATGATGTTGTGAGTTTGATCGCTCTGAAGCTCTACCAGTACGATTGATTCCATTTGTTTTTCTCAGTCATTAAACAGATAATCCTGTGCTGATTGCCAAAAGCTAATTACAGTAGCCACCGCAGGAGTTTTCTGTGCAGTACAGAATAAAACTGTCATTAAAGAAAGAGCTGAAGAGCTTTTAGTGGAGCGCCCCTGCTGTTTCCATCCCCATATTTTCTTCTTAATCACCATAAATATTACTTATTGTTTCCAGAAGAAAACAAAACCATGAAGCATTTTTATTCTCTGCTGCTTAGCAATGCTGCAGACGTGAACAGATGGACATTAGTACTGTGCTAAAAGAAAGAAAGAAAGCCAGAGAGAAAGAAAGAAAGAAAGAAAGAAAGAGAGAAAGAAGTTACACCCTGGTGTATTTCAGCTGAACCTACAGGACCTGTGTGCTTCGGGATGTTAAAATCTATTACTTATTTCTGTACAGATAATGTAATGCAACATGACACGGTGGCAGCATTATTTTTTATAGGTTGGCTGTTTTTGTTAAATTAAAGTTAAACATACATCAGAGTAAATAAAAATATTACTCTAACATTTTAGGAATGTTGAGATTTAATGAGGATATTTTTTCTGCTTCACTTTAAAGGTCTTTATTCCTTTATTGCTTAAAGCCTTGTGATTTCAACCCTCCATTTTAAATACATACAATTCTTTATGATTCAGGAAGTTGTGTCAGCTCTCAAGTATGATCCTGCTCCTTTACAGAGCATATAACTGCACACAACTCTCACAGGTTTATAACTGATGTTAGGAATGAGAGAGGCCGAATTTCCAGCCTGTAAGCTCTAAGTCGAGTTGTTCATGAAACTGGTTGGAGATGACATTGTGGCTTTACTCAAACGCTTCAGATCCCAGTGACTTAATGCATAATCATGCTCTAAGATACACTTGGTCAGCAACATTTCCCGCTGTTAACCCCAATCTTGGAGCCCATCAGCTATCATCTGACAATGCAGGAGCCTGTGGGGTCAACAGACAATATGTGGGGCTACTTTGTTCACTTACTGGTTACAGCACGATTATTATTATTTTATTTATTTTTGATCATTTGAGTTAAACATTTCTCTTTTACTCTTTACACGGACTGAAACGTGATTGATCAAACTCAAAATCACCTACAGATTCTAAATATTCACATACAGAATCTGTTGATAAAGCTTTAAGGTTCAGTGTGTAGAATTTTGTGATATCTTATCTTATCTAGTGTTGAAGTTGTATGTTGAAGCTGAACACCCCTCACCTCACCCTCCCCTTCCAAACATGAAAAAGAACCTGTGGTAGCCTTTAATTGTCATAAAAACTCAAAAGGTGTTTAGTTTGTACAGTCTGGGCTACTGTAAAAACACATAGAGAGGACCCCCTCCATGTAAATATAAAGTATTTGAATATAAAGGGTCTTTTCTGGGCTAAAGAAAACTACAATTCATACAATTTAGACGAAACGAACGAGTGAAAACATCATGAGGATTATTCTACATTACATTTCTGCCAATAGATCCTTTCACCTAAATCTTACACACTGGACCTTTAAGGTCAAACCTCAGATAGAGACTGTGGCCTTCAAACCATGATTGATGGATATTAAGTGTGACAAGAAAACCATTTCCATACCACCACTGTTATAAACCTCCTTCACATGCAGTTTCTGTCCCAAAGCAGCCAAGTGAAGGAATATATTAACTCTATTCTCCACAGTCACACACATACATGTACAGTATACTTCTGTATTGTCACAGCTCCTCGTTGAAGCTTCAGGATGTTTGCACTGAGTGAAATATTCAAACTTTCATGGCTGCCACCTTCCATCATAAAGACATGCACATCATTTATTTACAAGTTTCTGCAAACTTCAGCCTAACAGATAAGAATTGGAGAAAAATTTACAACCCCCCTCCAGAGTAATGCAGTGGTTAGCACTGTCACCTCACAGCAAGTAGGTTCTGAATACGATTGTTCTCTGGGTGTCTGCATGAGTTTTCTCAGGGTACACCAGCTTCCTCCCACAATCCAAAGACATAAAGTGACAATAAATTGGCTGAAGGTGTGGTGTACTTGTGAGATGGATTAATTGAATCCCCCTTCCCCCTTTCCCTGCTTGGATCAAGAGCAGAGCTCTAACTGGATATGGGTCATTAAAACAACACAATATTTATATCGTCAATATTTTGAACTATTGATTGTAGAGGTATAGAGGCTTTTTATTGTGAAAATCCTGTCGGCAGCAGAGGCACAGACACAGGCAGCTGCAGGCTCTCAGATGAGCTCTGAAGTCTTTGTGAAAGAGTTTGCCCAGGAGCTGAAAGGAGCCCAAGTCCAGGAGCTGAAAGTAAAATAATGCAAGAATAAGTTTTCAAACAAAGTTTAAAAATCAGTTTGAGTTGTGTTTCCCAATATCACTTCAGATATAGTTGGCACTGTTAATGAAATTAAAATATAGAATATTCATTATACAGAAACAGATGTCCAGTTTCATGCAAATTATAAACATTATACATATGCAATACATGTTTGCATGATTTTAAAAACTTTCTGCAGAGTCATCAGACAAAAGAACCAAACCTACTGTATGTACATGTCTCTGACACTTTGGAAACTTCAACACTAAGCTTTGTGGGTTTGGCTGCACAGGACTTGTAATGACCGGCCCACGATAGGATCAGTGAGATGTTTAGAGTTTAGATACATTTGTTTAAAACATCTCAAAACTTTAACTATGCAATTATAAGTGTCAGACTTTTAGAAATTGCAGGTTCAGTGGAATTTAATATAAATATGAAATGATTTGAAAGTCAACTTTTTTGTGTTTGTCAGCAAAATCAAGTATCACAGTACCATGTGCTTTATTGGAAGGTTGTCCTGCACATGATAGTTACATATTTCGCTTGAAGGACAAGGGCCACAAAAATTTAAATCGGACCTCTGAATCTCTTTGCCGACAAATATAAAACACATGCTGTGTGTACTGTTTAATATCTGTGCATTTTCTCAAATACCTTCCAGAGTGAGTATCCTGTGTCGACACGGTTTTTGAACCTCTCCTTTTTTTCAGTCATCAGCATCTTTTTTTTTTTTTTCTGCAGTCCTTGATTTTCTCCGGTTATTTCAGGACATCCACCGGCAGCCATTCATCATCTGGGAAGTCTTAACTGTGCACACTAAAAACACATTTCCAACATCTCCCTGTATCACTTTCTTTTCTACACTGATTGTATTTCATCCATTCATCCCTGGGCTTCAATCCCTCTCTGTCTATATCATTTTTTTGTCTCTTTCACAATTGTTACTGCTTTTGGCCTCAGCTGTGTTAGTAGATATCTCCGAGATAACAGCTTACCCCATCTCTTCTCTGTCGCTCCTCAGGGATAAACTCAGACTGAAGCTCCTGGCCCTGGAAAACACTGGATAACAGTATTGTAAGTGTTCCTCTTAGTCAAGCTTACCTCTGTTACAGATGCTACTTAGTGCATTTACATTGTAAGATGAATCACACTAACTAAAACAGATTTGAAGTGCATCCCAGTAATTGAAGAAAGGGGATAGTGCTTCCATGTGGCTTCACTGGTCCTGTGAAAGAATGCAGCTACACTGTGCAGCAGCAGTGCGTAGAAATAGGTAGAGGTTGTGTGTGTTTGCAAATGAGCCCACACAGCAAAAAAAGAACAAATTAGGTGAGTGTGCGTGTGTTTCTGTGAACTTGCTCTTGCATTTATCTTTGCACCTGTGCATGTGTGCGTGTGTGTGTGTGTGTGTGTGTGTGTGTGTGTGTGTGTGCACGTATGTGTGTGCGTGTGTGTGTGCGTGTGTGTGTATGTGTGTGTGAGTGAGACTTCTCTCGCCTGGCTGTTTATGTAAGATGATTGTTGTTGCCTCTGAGACCTGGCCCATCCAGCACCTCCAGCTGTGTGCTTTAACCCAGGATGCTGTGGGCTCCCAGCACATCAAACACAAGCATAAACACACACACACACACACACACACACACACACACACACACACACACACACACACACACACGCTTACATCTCTGGACACACATCTTAGGCTCTAATTTATGCAATCACTGGTCTCAAATTTACATACATTAGCATGGATCATATATGTTGAGGCTGCTTGCAAGGTCACTGCTGAAATGCTCCCTCTTATTTCAATGGGAGGATAACATGTATGATGAGTTGATTTATTTCAGGAGCTAGAGGCGGAGATCTTCTGACACTCTGTAATGCTACATGCTACCATCCCCACATGTTCCCTGCTACCTGCTGTAACCCCTCATGAGGACGTGTGAAATGCATAGACCTCATCAGCACAGTAATTGCAGGGGGCACCAGCAAAGATGTCTCTCCAAGCACGAGAGCCCTAAACGCTCCACGTTGGGCCCTCTGTATCCTCTGTGGAGGTATGTAATGGCATGTGAGCTGGTGAAAACAGGGAGTGGGCTGCAGCAAGTGATATCTCCCTCATCCCCTCTCTTTATTGTCCCTGCCTCCCTTCCTCTCAGCTGGTTAATATGCATTTCATTAGACAGCCTGCTGTTGGGAGAACCTTGCTCTTTTGGCGCGTCCCCTCCCCTCGCAGCGAGAGTGACTCACCCCCCAGGATCGGATGTAATGATTCTCCAAGATGGCAGCAGGTCCAAGCCTACTTTCCACTTTGCATCCAACCACAAAGAAAGCTGCAGATAATTCACCTCTCCTCACTCCCCTGTCTCCGGCTGAGATGGATGCAGATGAGCTTCTCTGTACCTTTCTGTGTGTATGTGTGTGTGTGAGAGAGAGAGAGAGTGTGTAGGAGGCGGTGTGCCTAAAGCTAGGAATGGATTGGACTGTCTTTAGACTGGGCCCGGTGAGGCAGGCGGAGAGTATAATCTGATTTAAAGCATGTCAAGGATTGTGAATAATTTCCTCATTACCCCCACCCTCTCGTCATTTTCAGGGCATATTTAATTTAACAAGAAGAGGGAGAATGTGTGTGTGTGTGTGTGTGTGTGTGTGTGTGTGTGTGTTTTGTGCACGTGTCTTTGTGTATGTCACGTCTTTGCTGAAGACTGTCTCCTATCTTCCCGCTCGAGGAGGAAAGAATTACTCCTTGCATATTCCTTCTCTCTCTCTTTCTCCGTGTCTCTCACTTTGCTTCTCTCCTTCTCTCTCTCTCTCTCCGACCCCCTGAGAGCTACAGCTGCCACAGTGTCACTTTTCCCATCCATAATTGAGGAGTGTGCACTGCACAAAGCCCATGAAACCATGTCAACCACTTCCAGTTGCTCCTGTTAAATAATCAGGCAGAACCAACAGTGCCGGGGGGGAATCTGCCTGTGCAGCTGCCTGTATCACTGGCTTGTGCAATCACTCCTCAACCGTCTTCTCCTTCAGACCTCATCCACCCACCACACTCACACACTCACACACACACCCCTCTTAGTTTAATATTTGCTAATTAGCTCTAAAAACACTGCATGATGCTGATGGGACTGTGTTGGGAAAAGTAAGTAAACAGATGACGGTGGCGCTAGATGAAAAGATCAGGGGATCTGAGGTCTTACAAATCTGCCCTCAGGGAACCATGGATGTCTGTGCCACATTTCATGGCAACACAGTTACTTAATCTGAAACCAAAAAAGGTCAACCTGCTTGGTGAGATATTCCTGAGAGTCAGGGAAAACCTTTTGCTTCTTCATATCCAGCTCTCTGCAGACATCTGTGATAATTAGATCACTATTAGCACCCTGGTTAGGGAGCCACAAGGTTATTCTTTTCTCTTTTTTCAATTATTTGTTATCACTGCCTGTGTGCACCCTCTCTACCTGCACCTCTCTCATTCTCTCTGTTCCAGTCTCCTTCATCCCACCACCCCTCTATTCTACTGACCCCACATCTCTACCTCTCTCGCGGCAGCAGGTTCTCACTGGAAACTCACCGTCAGGAATCAAAGAAGGCGGACAGCTCCCAAGAAGCCATGCGGCATGCTGTGCAACAGCCAGCAGAGCTCTCACCCTCACCAAGGTGTGTAGGGGTCTCAGTATAATTAAGCATCACCACCTTCACCGTGGAACTGCAATAACTCATGCTGTTCGCAGATCCAGCAACCATTACAATGACGCCACCTACCCTGATGATTATTAGACCCACGCTCCCATTCACAGTGAGACTGCGTATGTGAAGGGATGGAAAAAAGAAAGTTGGTTAAGATGCAACTTTCAAAACTGCAGAAAACAGCTTACATTTGGAAATAAGCAGCGCTGTCAGATTTGAGATGATTGCAGTATCCTACATGCAGAAATTGTTCTGCGTATGTGTCTGTGCTGTGTGATCAAAAGAGCTGTCGGGAAATGTACGCTTTCTAAAGAAAGGTAGAGTACAGGGAGGCTTAGTAATGAAAGATCTGTAATTACTGTGTGGTGAACAGTAATGGTAACCTCCCACTCTGCAGGCTTTTGACAGCCATACTGCTCTCTGGGGAGCGTGGATTTCTTTATATAAGATGGCTCTCAAATTCAAGTCCTATAGGAGCCGAGATAAACTGGGTAGGACATTGGAGAGGTCTGGTGCGGAGATATCCACCTCATATCACTCCTGGTCCAAATCCTGTCAGGCATCACACATGTGGGTGAGATTGAGTTTTGGTATCACTTTCTAGGGATTTTATTGAATAATGTTATATAATATGGTATTGATTAGTAATGAGTCATAACAAAAACAAAACACACTTTATATATCATATTCAGCTGCAACATGCAACTTTGCCACTAGATGTCCCTCAATTCTACACACTGAACCTTTAATGAAATACTTGTAAAATATAGTGGAGTACTGAGTTCTGATATTTGTTGCAATGAAGTAAAAAATAAAAGTTACCACAATAAATCTACTAAAGTAAAACACAGATAAATGAAACATGTACTTAAGTAGAGTAACTAAGTAAATGTACTTGATTACATCCCACCACTGAGACAGGGTTTGTATTTTCCAAGTCTGTCTTAATGCAACACTTACTAGCTGTTACGCACATTGAAATTGTTATTGGTCGCTGTATTCATTCTTCCTGCCTGTGCTGTCTGTGAAGAAATTCCTTCCTAATGTGATTCAGAGGAGAAGGACATATTACACAGTTTTTCATATTGTAATATTAAATTAATATGCGTCTTCAGCACTCATACGTCAAACCAGGTATTCTTGTTAACAGGTCTGCTTCCAAATCAAGTCTGCAGTGTGTTAAGTCATCAATTCTTTATTACCGATTAAGAAAGCTATCTTTTACACGCAACATTTTGTGAAGTATGACTTAATGAGTTAAGTAGAATATATAGCGTTGTGTCTTTTAGGCTACAGGAAAAGATAATTCAGAGTGTATTTGATTTGCTTTATGATAGAAAATTGTTACATACAGTATATGCTCATCATACACTGGGAACCGTTGGGTTTCTCTATAGACTTCTCTATAGGTCTTGACCCTGTTATGTTATGATTTGGCTCTTATATTGGACTGAACAGAATATCTTTGATTACAATCAGTTCTTCATTTTGCCATGGACTATTGTGTCAAGCACTTTGTAACCTTGTTTAGATAAGTGCTATGTATATAAAGTTATTATCATTATTATTATTATCATCATCAAGCTCTGCTGTGGTCCTATTATTTAGAGCCCTGCGTTCGTGCACCTCTGACATATTGAGTGAGAGAGTGAGGAACATTATTCATTCACTTTTCCAACCATCAGTTTCCAGCTGGGCTTCAGAAATGAAACAGCAACCTGCATGTGCTGAACCTGCTTCTCTCACCCAAAGGCTGCAGCTGTTGGTTCAGGGCTTCACTCCAGACGTCTTGCTGATCTTTGATGTGATTTTGATAAGGGCTTTGACTCCCCTGTTTTCATATTGCTCACAGTATAGCCAGGGTGCTGCTACTGTCTGTGGGCCATGAGTGTCTCTATGATGTAGTCCTGTAATGTAACATGAATGGCCACAGTGCCTCTCTTCTGAGCCACACTGCTTTGTTGTTATTTGCTTTGACACATGCAGGGACAGGAAAAGGTTAATGGCTTCTGCCGTAGAGAGAAACATGACATATGCATCACAACATCTGCATATCTACGAGCCGAGGAGACACTCGCTGCCGTGGATTTATTGACTAACATACTAGACTAAATGGGGAGTAATAATTGTGTGGCGACGAAGGAATCCAAGCAGACTACATTATGTTAATGTGGCGTCTGCAAGAAGAGAAGAAAGGACTGTGGAGTAGTATTTGTGTTTTCCTGCCACTCAGAGTGTGCGGCTCATGAAAGCAGCCGACTTCAAGGTTTCACTCTCTGTGTGCACTAACCACAGCTATTCATAGCTTTGATTGCCCCTGAGCAGAGGTTTGTCTGTGTGAGTGACTTACCAAATTGTGCAAGATGCAATATGTCTGAGTGATGTGTGTGAGAAGGAACATTTTTAATAGTACTTTTTTTTAAAATATAATTTGTAGTGATATTATTTCAGCTTTGAAAGACACCGTGTGACTGATTTACCACTAGATGCTGTGTGTGTGTGTGTGTGTGTGTGTGTGTGTGTGTGTGTGTGTGTGTGTGTGTGTGTGTGTGTGTGTGTGTGTGTGTGTGTGTGTGTGTNGTGTGTGTGTGTGTGTGTGTGTGTGTGTGTGTGTGTGTGCACTTGAAGCTGAGTTGTCAGAAGACAAGAAATATGAGCCAGAAGTGTGGTCTTCTTAAGCATGTATCCACTGGTGTCCAGTTTAAAAAAGAGAGATTCTGGGACTAGGTTTACAAAATACCACGTGTGTGCATTATGTTTTTCATTTAAGCCAAAAACTATTTTACCTTTTTTTCTCTGGGTCAAATCTCAGGTTGGAGTTTATATGTTCTATTCTGTCTGTCTGGGTTTACTCCTGTGACTCTGGCTTCCTCCCACAGTCCAAAGAGATGCACATTGGGTTTAGGTTAATTTGAGACTTTATATTGTGACTGTAGGCGTGAATGTGAATGGTTGTTTGTCTCTGTATGTTGCCCTGCGATACAGGGTGCAGGTGTACTCTGCCTCTTGCCCAATGTCAGCTGGGATTGGCTCCAGCCAACCCTGCAACCCTCAAAGGATGAGTGGTATGCTGAATGCATGGATGGAGTTTTAAATAATCTATATTCATATAGAGTTCGCCTTGATGACGATTCAAAGGTCTTTACAGTACGATTTTGCTATTCACCTTTTCACACACATTAATATACAGTGCAGCCCTTTCTCTCTCACACATCACTCACTCACAACCAGCACAGCCACCAGGGGCAGTTTCTGGTTCAGTGTCTTGCCCAAGAAAAAGGAGACTGGGATTTATACTGGGTTGTCCTGAAAGTACTTAGGGAGGTGCTTTCTGCATGGTGCTCACTATACCTCAAGTGTTGTCACAATTATCCAAATAGGACACACCTCTGAATGAATGCATTAAAAGGTCATTCTCACCCACCCCCAAATCTATTCCACGGTTTGTGTGTTACTTTTTTTTTTTTTTAAGCGCAGTAGTGTTTGATGTGTTACCACACACCACTGGTAAATGGCCATTTCTGAGTCGGGCATTGGACCGCACCCTGTTATTGTCCACCCACTAAGGAGGTGGATGAAATACAACAGTGTGATTCTTCAAGCCTTAAAATATTGCCATCTTTTAGCACTAACACAAATATGTGACACTGCACGAACAAATATTCTGCCTCAGTGGCTTCAGGGAAAAGCTCCATACACGCTGCTTCACAGCAAACCATTAGGAGAGCTACTTCTGTGTGCCATGTGTGGGATCAGATGTGACACGCGGTGGATGGAGGGGACGTCACGCTCCCGCGCTGCTTGTGTGTCTGTGGGAGGATCGCTCAGTAGATCAGGAGGCCGCTGTGCTTATATCTAAGTGCTATTTAGAGGTCAAGCTGTATACCATGAGGACTACAGGAGGGGCCTTGCACAACACAACGATAACTGACTTAAGTGTTTATTCAGACGGCAGGGATAATATCTGAATATCACACAGCAACGTCCAGCACCTCAGTTTTACAGCTTATTCTCCCCTCATGTATTTCTCTTCGGCAAACATTTCTCATCCTAACAAGGCAGTTTAAGGGGATTATTTTGCCCCACACTGGGATGCTTTCTTGCCATTATGTGCGTCAGGATTGTTCTTAATGATTTCCTTGTGTTTTCAATGGCCCACCAATCAAAATGTCCTTGACTCTGTCAGCTGTTTAGCTGCCAGGAGAACATAGGGAGAATAAGATCCCTGCATGCACGCTTGTGCACACGTGTGTAATGTATTTTCAAGACACCGACCTATCCATCCATCTATATGGAGTTTGTATGCATGCATTCTACATGTGTTAATCTCTTGTGTGTGTGTTTGCGTGTCTGTTTCCTGTGTGCAGGCACTGCAGCAGCCCCATCAGCACAAGGCCTGGGTTTTGCTCTTCAGACATCTTGTGCGTCTCTGGTGAGTAATCAGGTACTTGATCATAGAGACAGGTAATTATTCCTGTGCCAAGCTCACTGGCAAATGAAAAGTCCAGCAAAAAGCATCCGTCTCATCTAACACAGCCTGGAGTAAGAGGACAAGGAAAGAGTAAAAATCTGGAGAGAATAGATGGCCAAATGATCAGGCCTTAAATCACAAGTTAGGGTTTTTTAGGCTGTTTAGTCTTGGCGTATTAGAGAGGTATGTGCTCCAGATGTTCATAACTACAACCCTCGATTTAGGCACGGTGATTAAAAGGACACATTCCTGTGTGATTCAGAAGGGATTCCCGTTGAGTCACTTGAAAACACATTTATTTTTCCCTCAAAATCCCATGGTCATACTTTAGAAGTTTGAAGAGCAGTCTGAGCCTGCAGTGGCAGGGATCCAGTGATTAGAACATTTCACTGGTAATACAACGTGTTTTACTTGGGCCTGCACTCTGTAGGCTGTAAAAGGTGAGCTACTGTTGACGTGACAAAGTGCTTACAGGCAGAATTTCTACCTCCCCGTGCCTACATCTGTGATCTAGATTGCTTGCTTCATTGGTGTCATTTAGGTTTGTTCTGGAGCAGTGAGTAAACCAATCTTCTTACATACACCCCAGTCTGCAGTTTGCCTTGATTTATGAACAGGGAATAACCCAGTTGAACTTGAGGCTCATTTGTCACCTGTCATTAAGATGTACTGGTAAGATGTTTTCCTGTAACAAATAGCCACCTCAGTCGTTGTGCTGCTCCTGTTACTTCTGGGCCTGTGCTGTGGAGATCAGTAGAGGAAGAAGAAGAGAAGAGCCACTCCAGATGTGTGCGGCTAACGCAGAGGGAAAGGCTGTTAATGTGTTGTCCACTTTGTCTGTCGTAATTGCGTTGCCGTCTGTACCAAGAAGATCTTGTTCCCCCTCACGGCGATCATTCATTGTCATTTTTCATCTTTGTGAGTGAGCGTGCAGTGCCTTTATCCCTCTCCCCACCCCCTTCCTCACACACACCCCTCCACCACTCGCTGAGGTGGTTGCGCTCTTGTGGGCTGAAACTCCCATCGGAGACAGACACTTATTTGGCTCCAGGATAAAGCTAGATGTGTGCTGAATTGAAATGCTAAGTCTAGCATGAAACTCCGGGGCCATGAGAGACTAATCAGATGTTGAGAGGCAAATAAATAAATAAAGTGGCACTACAAATCTAATTTCGCCCGGACGTATGCCCAAGCATTTTGTGAGTCTGACGGCTGCAGAGGCCTTAAAACACTGGCAAGTGCAGGAATTAATTTTCTGTGCAGAGTGATTGAGGGGTATAGGGTGGGACAAAAGCTCGATAGAGGGTGTGTGGGATGACTCAAATGGGTGAGGCTGAAAGAAGCAGTTTCAGATTTATATTCAGATTTACATTCTATTTTTAGTTTCATTAAATGTGCATCTCCTTCAGCAGAAATCCTCTTAAACACACTTCTGCTGACATTCTGTTGGTGTCCTCCGAGCTGTACAGAACAGAGGGTTGACACACAAAGGGAGAGGCACATCCAGGCAGAGAGGCAGTGTAAGAGAGACTGTTTGACAGGAATAAGAAAAAAGGCAGGAGACGCTGCCTGCATGGAAAGACTGAGCCGACGAACCAGTTAATGGAGCTTTAATCAAACGTGCAAGTGTTAAATATTCTGTATGTAAACAGTGACGAAGAACCTGAAATATGACTGGGAGCATTGTTAACTAAATGCAGCCTCAGATCTTCAGTTTTTTTTTCCACTGACAGTGAAATTGAAGCTACTGTTCCAGAAGTGAAATAACTGGAGCATGTTTGACAGCTAAGATTACACATAGCTACACAGCTAACACTCATTAATATCTGAGCCTAATTATAGAACTCTGGATTGAACTTGGAAGCTTAACAGCGATTCTATTTCCAGAGGGGCTTTCAGTCTGTATTCATTTACCTGTTCACAGCACAGAGGTGCTACGATGATAGTACCAGACTTATATGTGGGCACCACTTGAAGTGGCTTTTAAGAGACGTCAGCAAAGATAAATTATTCCTAACCACTATCTGATGAGGAATCTGGTAGTAATCCCTCTGACTCAAACAACTTGGGCTTCCTTCCAGATTTACCATTTTGCAACATTCATCAAGAAATTAGTTTCTGCCCCAGCAGTGGCCTCAGTCGCACACAAGGCAGAAAAACTTCAACTAGAGTTCTCCTTTGAGCAACAATCAATTCTTAATTTTTCTTTATCAAAAAATGCTGCCTCCTCACATTGTGCTATTGCTATGTACAACTACATGTAAAACAACAGCTGAAAGCAGCAGGTTGAAGTTCAGTCTTACGTAGAGGTCATAATGTTGAATATTTCTGCCATAGGTCAGAAAGGTGAATCAAAGAGGACAAATCCAGTTCTTGTCTGCAGCCATGCTAAGAGCTCCTTGAGGCACAGTGCTACTTTGAGCTACAAATGATATTTGTTAGAAGTGAGGTTTGGTGCAATGTTTGTCATGTTCACAATCATAGCTTAGCATATTAGCACACTAACATTTGCTTATTAGCACAAAGCACAGCTGAGTCCTTCAGGAAGTGTTTTAGTCAAAAATCTAATAATGGGACAAACTGAGAGTTTAACGTAATGATGAAGCGCAATAAAAAAACAGAATGTCGTACATGCTTTTTATGTACAGTCTATGGTCACACACATAGACGCCAAGATAATAAGCTGTTTTCCCACGAAGGATCTCTGGAGGTCAGTGCATGTCTGAAAGCTGCTTTATAGAAATCAGTCCCCTCAATTTGTAAGATTTTTTAATTGAACATTAATGAATTTCTCTGGGAAATCAGTGAAAATATCCAAAAACGCCCTATTTAGCATTTTTAAAGGAGAGAATCATTCTCCTCTTTTTCATATTTTTTGCGTAATCTTGCTCAATAAACAGGTTTGAAAACATAATCTCCTAGGCAGAGGTAATTGAGGAATACATCCAGAAGTAAACATAAATGTTTGAAACAAATTTCAAGGCAATCCATCCAATGGTTGTTGTTGAAACATTTCACAGACATCGCAATGTCAACATCAAGCTATTTATTGAAGAAAAACGAGGGGATTACCAAAGTAATTTGGGTTCATATCAGGGAATTTTGGATAACTTTAGGTCAAATTGATCAGAAACATCTGGATAAGTAAACATTTTGATCCACTAGTGAGGCGAGAGGTAAAGTCTGGGGATTACCAAAGCTGTCAGGGTTCATCCTCTGGAAATCATGCCCATTTGTAGAAAATGTCATGGTGGAAAGAGACATTTTTTATGAGTATTAGCATAGCAGCAATCAACCACAGCATTGCTTTTATTATCTGTCTTCCAGCTCCCTTATATTTTCTGCATAAGGATTTTTACCTGCTCTTACTTTGAAAATAATAAAGCCATATCATGTCATATTTCAGAATCTCCATGCAGCAGTAAAAGTGACTGGGAGAGACAGCACCACTGATTCCTTCTGTACTTGTCCATGCCTGTCTTGTCAGAAGGGGGTGAAAAGGCCAGTGAGTGGTATTTTTTAAATTCAGTCTCACAAGGTCAGTTCCTGCTCGGTGAAGGGTTAATCTGAGCTCAGTGCAGGCAGACCTCTCTGACACTCAGCAGGAACTCCCCCTGATGAACACAGGTAGTGGGCGTCCAGTACGCTCCCTGCAGTGACTGGTGGTTAGAGAAAGATGGAAATTGCATTTGCACACTTTCTGAGAGCTGCTTTCCTCCACCCCGTCAGGTTGAGCCCTAGAGGTCTGCAATAAAAACCCTAGTCCAACAGTGTATTAACAGTAAATGGTTCGCAGCTATTTTTGTTGCTTTCATCCCTCATAAAATGTGATACATAGCACATCTTAATGAGGCTAAAAAGCTCTTTATTCACTTTAATTTTTCACTCTCCAAAACTTATTGACTAACTTATAGTTGACAAGGCCTTTTTACATATCTACTCTCATTACTCCTCTACATGCTGTGCAAGTATATAACCACGTTTTGGATAGCACGTGTATACTCTGAGTGATTACATTTTGCCTATAGGTGGCGTTGCAGCAACATCGTACATTTCATATCTAACTTGGAATAACTTTTTCAAAATCCAAAATTTTACTGTTAGATCCTATTTTTTGCATCATCCTCCATTCTACTGTGGGTTACATGGGGGGAGGCTGAGCTGTCATGTTGTTGTTGTCAGAGTTAAAAGGCCACAGAGTGACAGAGAACTTAACCAACTCCAGCCCCCCATTCAGGCTCTGCTGAGGCTAACTCTGACTCATCAGGTCCCACACGCCATGTATCAGAGAGAAAAGGCCAGAGTAGGTGTGTTTTCATGTGCGTGTGTGCGTGTGTGCAGTGGGTGGAGATGCCATGGGAACAATAAAAGGATTTAATATGTCCTCAAAAACCACATCAACACTGAGCGCCTGTGGCTGATAGTACTGGGCAGATGTTTATCTCTAATCAATATGAGCACAAAGAGATTATAGCAAAGTATTATCCTCCTCCATCTAATACAGCGTGGTTCCAGTAAATATACTGTTGTTGTCTGCTCTACAATCTACCTGTTGTCGGGAATAAAACCTACAGCGCTCCAGTAGTCTGACTAGGCAGCTTTGAGATTCGGTGGCAGTGGTCCAGTCAAAGCTGCGGTGATAATAATGATACCAGCTCAGCCGGGTGTGCCATTCCCAGGCTTTATAAAATGATATCATGAAAGCGCTTAAACATGTGAGGGCACATCTGATTTGCAAACCAAATAACCCCAGCCAAAACAAGTGGAGCATAGTAAAGAAGTACTAGTCACTAAATTATATCACCCACAGTGAGTCTACACAGGTTTTTTACCATCTGCCACTAAGACTGTAGATAAACCGACAGAATGATAAGTTCCACGTTTTTAATTTTCAGTCTGCAGTCAACTTCGGATGAGGGTGACAGATGCAGTAAACATGCTGTAATTTCTATCCTCAGTTTTTTCTAAATTAAGCAAAATGATCAATAGGCAAAAGTTCTTATATTCTTAAAATGTAATGCTGCACACTATGATTGTTAAAAACGGTGACATGAGACAGTGCATCCAAACTGACAGAGCTTATGTCTGATATATCCTATCCAGTGCAGAGAATGGTGCACACTGATCATATACTTTATCCCAACCATGTTGCCCCTCAGAATAAGACACTCCACACAGTAAATGTAAGACACAGATGCAGACATGCATAATGCATGAGGGTTGAGCCAGTGTTCACGTTGCAATGCGAGTTTGCTATGTTGAGAGTATTTATGGCATATTGTATGGTGAATAATTAACCCATACACACATATGTGCACACACACACACACACACACACACACATATTGGACGTACAGTGATGCACACACGCCTGCAGACACACACGGAACAGTCCAGTGGTCTCTGCTAGCAGTACAGACAGATGTCTTTTTGGCAGCTCATAACCTGTATCTCACAACCTGCTCAGCTTGCACAGAGCAGGTAATGACATGTACAAGGTATTATTGGATGCATTAATAGAAATGAAAACTACAGTCCTCCCGAGATTATGTCAATATTAATCAGCGTTGATATTGAGAAGACATTCCCGGGGCTTTCTTTACATTCAGAGTTACAACAGATTTAATGTAATGCATCTATTGATTACAGAGCAGGGGATGATACCGTATCTGTCAGTATTCTCTGTTGGGAAGAGCCTGTTTACAAAGACCTTGGATGCTGCACTTGGTAAACGTATTGACCAGTAACTGGCTTGTTCAAATAAACCCCTGCTCATGAATATTGACCGACACCCCATAAAATATTGACAAGTGTGCTGTGCTGGATCCTTGGTTGTGTGTTGCTGTTTGTTTCCCTGCAGATGCATACAAGGATAGCATTCTTTCAAAATGTATTCACATGAGTGTTACACTCAGCTGTAAATAGCCAAAAAGTATTTGTTTGTCTGTAAAAAGCAGAATTATCATTCAATGTAGTTAGTCATGGTCATGAGTATGATGAGAACCTGGAGACATTACAGTTTGAGGTAAGAGCTCATAAAACTTGTAGGGAAACTTCTTTTCTTTTCCCACTGTGTTCATCATTTCATGGTTCAATACCTTGTTCATTCAAAATTAAATCTTCATTTGCAGATCAAATGAGTCCTAAAGTGTTTCTTAAGGTTTCTGTTGCATTTCATTAATCCACTGCTCACTGAGATGTCAATTCCATTTTCAAACATAATACAAACTGCTCAAACAACCCTGCACATATAAAACTTAAATGAAGGTCAGTATGTGTTTATGTGCGTGTTCTGACCAGGGCTGTCTAACCTGTGATGCTGGTTGCAGCTTTCTCTTTGAATCTGCAACAGTGACCTATGATTAACTGGATTCAGTTTTTGCATCATTTTTAGAATCAATATTTTCATGAAACTGAATTTGCTTTTATATAAGTTAAAAGATTTACTTAACTGTTGTTGTTCATCGTACTTTGAGGTCTGTTAAGCAATTAATACAATCTTCAAACCCCAGCACACAACTTCTCAAAATATTCATACCATTGTGCTTTAACTTTGCAGACAAATTGCGAAATAGAAAGTTATTCGAGGAATGTTGCTAGTATGACCAAGATCAGCACCTGCGACTCCAGTGAATTTGTGTCAGTCCGCTGAAATAGTAAAAATCAAATTTATAAAAATAACTTGGGAAAACATATTATTGCTGGTGGGCCAGTTTAAACATGCGGGCTGCCAGTCGTTGGCCACTGGTGTGGTTTATCTGAGGATGTGGAAGAAGACATGTTGAACTCGGACCACAGACTCACTGTTAAGCCCCACCCCCCACTGACTGTAAATGTATTAATTCTGAACTTATCATGAGTCCAAATCACAGCAAATTTGACACTGCACTTCAATGGGCCATTAACAACACACATGCCAAGTGTGAAGCCCATAATATGAACGGTTATTGAGATATGCGTTCCACGTACAGACAGACAGATTTGTGGAAGACAGACGTAGAGTGTAAGGTCCAAATGTCTGAAATCCCTTCATTCAATTGACTGGTACTCAGACCTTAACAATAATGAGCTGAAAATGGAATGTAGACTCATGAGTGGACGCAAACAGGGACCATTGTCTCTCACATCTGTTGTTTGTTACATAGCGGTCGGCGATAACCATCAATCACAGCGCTACTTCAATTTACACATTTGTGCAAGTGTTGCAATTTTTTTTACAACGTGATCAACTAATGTAATGAGCGCAGTGCAGGAAGCTGAGGGGCGAGGCTGAAAGGGGGCGGGGGGGTGTTGATGTGAGCTGATGTGAGCTGGTGACAGTGCTGATGGGGCAATCAAGTCCTATCATGAGGAGGCGAGGCTTACTGGGTGGTAAATAGGCTCTATATCAATCGTTGAGGAGGGGAGGGGAACACGTGGGCTCTGGAGCCCCCTCCATCCCACACACAGCCTCCAATTAAACAATTAGGGGCAGAGGCTGCTCTGATCCTGCTGCACAAGGGCCTCCACTACATCAACAGCCCTTCAGCCACCACGCTACATGCCCTTGAGTTGAACTCTAACATCCCCATTGCTCTCTGATAAACCTCTCTCTCTCTCTCTCTCTCTCTCTCTGATCTAATTGCAGCATTCCATATGGATGGTGGGAAAACTGCAGTGTCTGCAAACCTGGATGTATTTCCTGTGGCTGCTGTTTCCTTTATTATGGCACAAACTGCCGTAATCCGAGAGTAAGACTGAGGATTGCATCGTACCATTATCTTTATGTGCCCATGTACACTCTGCTGGACCCTGGGTGTATAACCTTCTACACGTGTCCTTTGAAATTGAGTGTCCCCATTGTCAAAGAAAACAACTGTCCTGACAAATATTGATGCATGAGCTGGGAAGTCCACATCGTGAACCTGAACAATTACACCACCCTGAGACTCAGTGAATGCTGTTTCCTTGGATGTGGCCCACCCTACAGTGTCACTGAGAAGAAAATGACAAAGCACCATGTCACAGAGGAATGCCAGGCATGTTGTAGCCAGTCACCCAGGTCACACTCCTGACCGCAGGCCAGTTTTATGGTTTTGCTGACAGCTGCTTTTGATAGTGTAATTGTGACAATGATCTCACTCTCCCTCTCTCTCTCGCTCTTCCTCTGTCTCGAGGAGCTCTGCGCTCAGCCTTCCTCCCAGCGGGGGAGGTGGGAGAGCACATTTCATTAGCTTTCAATTCATAGTGAATTTATTAATCCCATGCTGGTTCTGCAGGGTGGAAGGCTGCCTAAGAAGGGGGGAAATATCTTCGATATAGACACCTTTTTCCTCCATCTGCTTACAATGTGTGTGCAAAAGTGTATGAAAGAGGGATGGGAAGAGGGAGGTGGAGGGGATGGGTGTGGGGGGCAAAGGAACCAAGAAGGCGGGAAGGGGAGAGGGGAGAATAACAACGACGGGCTAACAACAAGGGCTTGTGAAAAGACTGCAGCAGGAAAAAGTGTGTCAGATCATTTACCAGCGGGGATGCGCGACTTCGTCTTTTTAAAGGCAGCAGCCCTGCAGAAAGGCTCTTGTCTAGTCAGCACTGCAACAAAGGCACAGCCATGGCTCTATTTGAGCGCCTGGAATGTTCCTGTGTGCACGGGGCCAGCACCGAATAGTGAACCCTCGGCTCCATCAAGGGAGAGAGCGCAGAGTTCACCTCGGCCAGACCTCGGGCCCCAGATAGAGAAGCAAAGCTGTGTTGCAACAACGGGGCTGACAAGCACTTCACACTATTTAACGACAGAAGTGATTCAACAAAGAGCAGCTCTCTGCCTAACTGCCTCTGAATAACACTGTTTGACATTGTTCTGAAGAGACTGAGACAGAGAGCGTTGTAGCGCACTGGCCCTGTACCAAAGCAGGTTGTATAGAGTTGAATGTGAGCTGGTGTCAGATTAAAAAAAAAAAGTTTATGAATTCCTTGTGAAGACAGGGAACAAGGAGACAGCTTTTACTCTTATTAACCGGCAAATCTGAATATCCAAAAGACATTGGTTTGGAAAAGCTGCCAGGAGTACAGAAAAGTAGAACTCAAAACACTTTAGATTGCATTTTCTGCATTTGACATCTCCTTCTTACCCTGATGAGCTCACAAAACCTGAATACCTGCCAATCAGCCCACACACTTTATCTGACTGAGATCAGACAATCACACAGCAACACTGGATTGACCTTTCATGCATTCATTTCTAATCAACTTCCCTGATGAGATCCTCCACTACAAGACCGTTCAAAAGGAGTACGGCTTATTCTGCAGCGATCATCAAGAAGAGTCAACTGCAAAGTTTGAAATAAGTCCAATAAGATTTCCTTTGGTATTTCATTCTCCATGTTTCTATACTGAAATGATAACTCTATCCAGTATGATGTAATGACATGTAATATCCTAATGTCTATTTGTTCCATATGTATCTATTTACTTTTTTTTATAATAATGTAATGTAATAAAAACAATGTCTGTGGTGTGATTAACAATAAATTGGATCTTGATCTTGAACAGTGAAATCCAAAGAATACAAATTTGACTACGTCTGAACTGAAACCAAACAAGAACCAATTAAATGTTGTGCATTCTGTTTCCTCCTGATTAACTTTTATTTTCATTGCCTCTCTCACCAGCCAACTGCGTCATTATGTTTTATCTTGCAGCACAAGTTAGAGTAGAGTTACTCTGCTCTTTCCAAGCTGCCACTTTATCAGCAGCTTTTAGTTTTATTTTCATGTTTTATTCCCTCCTTTAAGACCAAATTCACTAATATACAGTGGTTACCACATATGACAAATGCACAGGTCAGTTTATTCATTTATTCAAAGCTTTTGCTCAGTGTTGATTACAGTTCAGTTAATTACAAAATGAGCCAAATATTGTAACTATTTGAATCTTGTGTGTTTTTATATTCCAGATCAGCCCTTTGGCTCCTAATTATTATATTATTGTAACTCAGGCAAAAATCTGGGCTCTCAAGGTGTTTTGATTCTGCATTTTAATAATGTTGCAGTCACGGCCAAGTGCTACTATGTGTGTAAATTAATGGAATAAGTGCTTGTTCTCATTATCTTCAAAAGATCTGCTCGATCTGTCTTTGCAGACGAGGCTTGTGGGTCCTCAATGAGCATGTTTGTTTATGTGTGTGTGTGTGTGTGTGTGTACAAGACAGACGAGGAAGGAGGGAGGGAAAGCAAAGAGCAGATCTCGGTGTGCTTTAACGTGGGGGCTGGGAGGAGAGCTACTTTATTTGAACATGGCACGCTCGTTGACCTCTTCATAGCTATTCCTTCTCTGCAGAGGCCAAGAGGGGGATATCACCACTTAGCCTCTGTAAACACAAGTTACGCTGTTGAACTATGGACCTCGGAGTCTTGCTCTTAACTGCTGGATGCCGCAGCTTTGTCCGCCAGTGAAAGAAAAACCTTTTCAGCCGGTGTGATCGATTTTATTGATTCGCAGAAAGCTTTTCAAATATTCCACGTGACTCTTGTGATCTTTCAGTAACAGCACTGTGCGTCATGCTTCTTGTCTAAGGTCATATATGGCAGACCTGTATTTTACACTTTACCTACTCCTCTCCAATATTTCTGAGTGCTGCTGAGTTAGAATATATATATATATGTTGGGGCGTCTCAGTGGGACGAGATAAGAGGAAGCTTGAGATAAGTGAGAGAAAAGCATCACCAGATAACGATCTGGTATCCACGTTAGTTCCTCTGCTGTGACAACTGCACTCATCTGCTGCACTATTAGATGCTTTTCTTCTGTTAAACAATCTTATACAGATGGTATCATGCCACAGTTGTATTTCGTATCAAGGGGAGTGATGATAAAGCGTGGGAAGTGCTGAAAGTGAGATTATCATTCATTCCTATGGGGAGATTTAAGGTTGAGAAAGCTGCTCGGTCCTTGAGGATAAGATGGAAGACACAAAGCTGATTGTGCAGGACCCTCGGAGGCTGCACAAAACAAGCACACAACTGTTGTTATACATTGTGTTAATATTGGGTTTTAAGTGCTTGCAGATTTAATATATCTACGCCAGATCACATGGCTTGGGAGCAGTGAAAACATCAGGTGCAACTTTTTGTTCGAGCCACGCACAAACAGGAACAATGCCGAGACTTGTGAGAAATCTTTTTTTGTCTAGTGTCAATGGTGTCTTAGATAATGTGTGAACAGACACTGTCTCTTTATTGTCCGCAGGTTTCATCTTCTGCAAGTTCAGGTATAGGTGAAACATCCCCTAATCACTGGAACAAAGTGATCACCTCACATGTTTCTGTCTGGCACAGTGTTGTTACTCTTCAGGCTACCACACCTTCATGACTCCATCAGCGTTTCAGGAGGGGCCAGTTGTTTTCTGGCCCTGGGGTCCTCCTGTCATCACCACCTTTATGGACGGCTTTTCCAAAGCTCTTTAAAAATGGGATATGATACAGGGGAAAATAACTGACGCAGATTGTTGAATAATTCTGATTTATGAGCACGTCGATAGTTACAGTATATTTATTTTTAAAAAGGCAACAATGACTTCATGAAAGTAACTGGTTAGAATAACAGAGACATCTTGTAGAGACAGGATTACATAGAGTAGCAAGAGCAGTGGTTAGGATCTGCTGAATAAAGGTTTCGTTCAGAGGAGAGTTTTACTTATTAATCAGTCATTAGGATAACAGAGGCAGTTATAGGTTTGCTGCATGACCAGGTGCCAATCAGGTCTAAAAAGAAAAGACCAAACCACTAAAATTAGCTTACATAGTAAATATAAAATTATAATTACCAGGCATTACAAAAAGAACTCATCATTAATATTATATAAATCTATGGTGCTCCAACTTAGAAATGAAGTGATATTTTTGCTATGAGTGGGCAATGGGGTTAAAATAGAATCCTGCGTTACCCGAAGAACTAAATTTACAAAACAGATGATATGATCAGAGAGAGAATTACTTTTGTTCATGTTGATATTGTGTGTACAATTTGGAGGATTTGATTCATTGTTGAAATTGTCCTCAACCATTGGTTCCAGTTGAACTGACTGTAACAACCGCAGTATTCACAGAGGATACGCTCCAATGTTCAGTGGTAATGTAAATTCAGCTGGATGCCCTTTAATATCAGTCACACTACAGTACATACAAACCAAAAGAATGAAATCAGAAAAGATTATTTTGTTTGGTTTATCTCTGTCATATTGTGATCATTAGTTATCTGGTTGTGTAAGATAAGTGGTGCAGCAGCTCTCAGTTATGCAGTGTTTTAAGAAATTTTGGGGAAAAAAAATCATACACACTATATTGCTATGTTTATTTTAAGAGCAAACATTGTGGAGTTTAATAATTAACATCTGTCTGGTTTGAATCAGGAATTACTTGGAAGGAACTGGAGGCTGCTGCTGCCAGAGAATGACTACACTTCAATAAAGATGCTTTTTAAACTAGTAATTTTAAATACTAATGTTGAATTAATAACACAAATTCTGCAAAGTGAAGTCAAACAGGTCCAGGTCCATGCTCTTCCATTATTGCTGCACAACTGGCATGAGCAGAGGGAGTTGGGCTTTTGGCTGCTCAAGCACCTGCCCCCTTGGCACTCACTGTCCAAAGTACCGTGGCCTTCATTGAGAACATTTGACAATTAATAACAATACAACCATTTAGCTAAACAGAAAACGACCTGGCTGTTGGTCAGTTTACACCTCATCATGAACTTTCACCTGCACCACTCGGATGCTCAGTGTGAGACGGAGAAGCACAGGCTATGTTCATTTCTGGGGAAATTCTGTTAAAGAAACCCTGAAGCAATATGTTGAAAGATTCTTACGTTTCCTTCTGGTTATACTGAAAGTTGTGTAGGTGGTGTTTTAATATCACCAGCATCTCTCAACAAATCCTATCTTGTCTCTAAAATAGAGGAGCCAACAGTGACATCATAGTTCAATATTATTTGCCCTGCTGCATAAATGCACATAACCAGGGCAACAGGTTAGTGTGAGGATCAGAGAGACATCAACCAACCTTCATTCAGTCCACTGTCTTCCCAACATGCCTCCCACTTACTAACATGTCCTGAGTTGTGCTGTTTGACCTTCGTTAAGTCATCATTTCAATTGTGTCTGTGTTATTTATTCATCCATTTGTGCTCTCGGTGTGTCCTCTGTTCTCTTCAGTGATATACATGATTTATTCTTCATTTTCTGCACTTGATAAATAGTTTTATTCTATCCATGTGAAGCCTCGCTCTGCTGGAGGGGGGGGGGGGAGCGGGGTGAAATGAATGTAGTGGGTAGAAATAAACCCAGAAACCCAGGGCGCACCGGTGCATCTCGGGCTGCACGGTGTCACTTGTGCAAGTGCAACATCTCATGCGCTAGGTGGTGCACTGTGAAAGTGAGCAACTTTAGAGGGGCTGATCATTAGTAACAAAATCTGTTGCTCAGTAGCGCCACTTGCGCTCGGTCTAGCGGCAATACCTATCAGTCCTGTGTTATTACAGCCCTCATGACCACGACACCGGCAAGCTGGCACAGGCCAGAGACCACGGTTGTTACTGTGACTATCAAAATAAAACGCGTCTAACAATTTAAATGTTGCAGCGCCTAGTTAAGATGTGTGGTTCTTGAATGAAGAAGGACGTGTATTTTTGTGTCATCAAATTAGAAAGCAAAATTCGTTTTTTCCTGAATCTGCATCCACTGTGTTATTTATAATGATGAATAAAACCCCGCTGCACTTTTACTTCGCCGGAAACGCCGCCTGCAGTCTGACGTGTGTCTGCCTGTCGTCAGCCAGCTTGACGAAGCTTTGACCACGAACGAGCCAATAGGCTGTGGAAGGCAGAGTTGTCCCTGTGGCCGCCATTAAAGAAAGGAATCCATGAATTCAAATGGAAACCAACAGGAACCGAGGCTGAGAAAAATGA